TCATTTCAAGCTGGCTGTAGTGTTGCGTTTTTAAAGTCTGTGAGTTCAGTTTTGGTCTTGCTGGATGTAATTGCCATGCGCAGGTTATCCTTTAGTGGTTGATACTTCCACTGATATACCAATTCTATGAATAAAACAATCGATACTTCATCTACATATGCACACAAATCATACACATACATCACATATATGTTAAATTAGAATAAAGAAAACCATTTTATTGTTACGTCATCGTCATTATACGACTATATCTGTAGGCTCTTCATTTATTTGTCCTCTATAAAATTTCATGTGTAATGGATCTATATTTTGGAGACAAATAAATATAACTGCTATTACTATTTAAGTTGACTTGTTGTTATGCTAGTTTTAATATATGTGAACGTGAGACGTATTTTAGATCTGAATTTTGAACCAGTTGACTTTAACCAATTGAACTGAAATTGTATAATTATACAGGCTTCGATGTCATGGCGATACACAATAAATTAAATACCGCTTACAATATGGCGCACGCTACACAATGGTGATTTATGATTCCCACATTAAACCGTGTGATATGGGCGCCTAATGATAAGGCTTGTTGAGCGAAGCACAATAAGTAATCTATTTACAACAAGGCGAACATCTGAAATGAAAATGCAATATTATCTATTATGACATGGAGCCGATTTCGTGATGAAGCCGGAAGGTGGCCTTAGGAACGCTGTGATAAAACGCGTCATTAATAACAACCGTAACTTTTTAACATTAAATGTTTCGCTAAAATATAGGTACGTCTTATTTCTTCCAGTAATTGAATAGTTATTTACGTAATATCATTGATCAGCATATTCAATCTGTTAATGTATGTTAAGCAATGGTGGTATAAGATAATAATAAAGTAAGGAGTTCTATGAAGTGCCATTGATAACATGTATGTAAATTAAATAGAAATTAAAGTGGCTATCTAACATCATAAATACTAAAAAGTAAAAAATGACGCTTAAAAACGGAGATTTTATTTGGCCGTCAATAAGAATTACTTAACATTCAAAAATGATTCTTTCCTTTTTGAAATATGTCGTTTTCTTAACCGTTAAACGTGTTACATTTTAACAACAAAAAAAGGCACATTTCATTTGGGAAAGATATTTTTGAGTTTTGATTGTTTTATTAACGGCTAAATGAAAGCATGCTTTAAAAAATATTTTTTCTTCTATTCATTTATTGATATTCCGAGCAGCGTCTCCGACTTCCAGATATTCCTACACCCTGTGAATTTCCGTGGGAGTTATGCCTCGTATTTGCATATTACCAATTTCATCATGTTATAGTGAAGTTTGCTTCGGTACAACAAACTTATCCCAGTTCCTAGGATGAGCATTAAGGCGTCCCCATCCAATCTTAGCGTGATGTCAGTCCTTTACATAAAATCGACCGAACGATGAAAGAGTATGGAAAGTACACCGGAGTTTAATCAACTAATCCACAGTAGCTATACGAACTTATACACTGTGTACAAAGACACGTGGTTGTTTTTTTAAGTCTGCGCAGACATAATTGTTGGTTTTGTGTTTCAGTTGTTGAAACAGAAAAACCAAGACAATAAATTAAGTGAATTTAAACGACAAATACATTTACTTGAGATTCAAAGCTAGTAATCACATCACATATGCAAATTTGCTGAATTTAAAAAATGAGAGAGATAAAAAATAATTATATTCATTGTACTCTGTCAGAAATTACAAGTCATATACGAGTACATGCTAACAATAATAACGCACAACGCGGGCGCGGTGGTGACTTCCCGTAATTCTCCTCAAAGATTTTGAAAACACAAAAAAGCATAAAAAATCGTCTTCAGAAAGGACCACATATACATAACCCGTCAGGCACAACTAGTAGATATACGAGTACTGCATTGGCAGCATATTCAATAATAATTTTCTCACAGCAAATATCACTGAGTTTATACACATGCAGACCAATACACATAATCATCAAGATGCGATCTTGCTATTCGACCAACATTCTTATCAGAGATGAAAACTACAGACTACTCGGCTTCACTAAACATATGCAACCAACAAGGCGTGAGGTTGAGGTTGAGTCATTCCCCCATAGATGGACACTCACGGGTATCATGTAAAAAACCTATAAAACGCAAAAAACCTACAGGATGTCATCTTGCAAACTAGGTAGTTTTAGGGCGCTAACAGTCATTCCACGTTTGCTCACTAGGATCGTTGTGAGCGTCCATCTATGGAGGAATGACTCAACTACACGCGTTGTTGGTTGCATATGTTCTGTCGAGCCGAGTAGTCTGTAGTTTTTATCTCTGAGATGAAAGTTGTTCGAATCGCAAGATCGCATCTGGATGATTATGTGTATTGGTCTGCATGTGTATAAAATCAGTGATATCTGCTGTGAGAGAAAATCATTACTGAATATGCTGCCAATGAAGTATATCTATTGGCTGTGCCCGACGGGTTATTTTTATGTTGTGCTTCCTGAAGAGGGGTTATGTTCAAAGTTATAAATAACGAAAAACTGAGGAGAATTACGGAAAATCATCACCACGCCCGCGTTATGTGTAATTACTGTTAGCATGTATATGGCTTGTAATTCGACAGTGTACAGTGAATATAATTATTTCTTATCTCTCTCATTATTGAAATTCAGCAAATTAGTATATGTTATTTCCAGAATGGATAAGAAAAACCTACTAATTTCTGGCTTTGAATCTCAATTAAGTGTATTTGAGACGATAACCCAATGTAATTATCATCAACACATACAACTTACCGCTCAGACCTCCAGTAATGCCATCTCAGAAGCAGATTTTACATCACATCAGAGCCAAAGGTTGATAACAAGCCTCATGATGTTTAGGCAACAAGTACAACTAAGTGCAAAGTTAACATTTTGTAGAAAAACCTACATAATGTCAAAAACACCAGCATAATGTCAAAAAAAATCGGCATAATGTCACTTTTCAGGATACGTGATACCCGTGCCGGGCAGCCATCCTGTTGGTACCATATGACTGACGTCTTCCAATAAATTTAGTAAATGATTTTGTCAAAAGTAAATAAAGTTCGCTATTCAAGAACTCTGGCAGCTCAAAGGCTAAAATGATTTTCTTATTTAGAATCCCGGTCCATATTTTTTTATTTTTTTTTCTGATAACTATTACGACTTGTGTCTGTCTTGACGTCGACTTCTGGGACATCCTGCATTTACTACTCAAAAACACTTTAGAGAGCCACGTGGAACGAACTATTCACAAATGTCCAAACTGGTCCACTGGACCTTATCTAATAGGTACAAGATACAGTCGTGGAACAAACAATATGATGTTATACCAAAAGCAAAATTTAATTCAAAATACTGAGAGATAATTGTATATGTTGTAGAACGTAAAGCGCTGCAGTTGGTATAAGCAATTAGTTTACATTTTGGTACGTAAACTAGCTCTAGGCGTCCATCTCTTTTATTTATCGCTGCCCGGTTTAAGTAATCACAGAGTTAGTCTTGATAAAATTTTGAAAGGAATACACTGCTACCAGTTTAGCATCCCTAGCAATAAAGTATGTTTATTAATGTTTATATTATTGTCGGTTCACACGGGCGTCAAATTGACGCACCGCAAAAAGACGCGGGTTTAGATTTACATTAATGCAAATGGAACACGCCACACTATCATCCGAGAACTTACATAACTACTATTCTTCAACAACACGCAATTCCAAAATCTGGAAAAACTCACAATTGCTATTTGACTTGTTTATATCGCCATTTCAAAAAGAATATGTGAGTTCGCATCCGAAATCGCAACTAGTTTGCCACAAAGTAGGTATAAACGTAGGGCTTACTATTTTAAAATTCATTTGCAAGCTGCTTCGTATCATCAATATTTCAGAGCGTTGTTCGTGGCATGCTTGATGAGCCATATTTTTAGGGCCTTTGTGCTGCGCGTTCCAAGATTAGCTTTGTGTTTTATCGCATATCGCATGGACTATTTTATTACTCTTGATATGAGCAAAAACGTTTTATTGCTCATATTTTTAGCTTACTATATCACGTAATATGTATGCCAGTTAAGAGGATATGTCATATATTCACATTATGGCGCGATCTATCACTGAAAACAACCGAACTAATATTCTTGGCCCATACTATATATTAACTTGCTAATTATTTGGTGATTTGATCGTCGTATTCTTATTAGCCAGGTATATGTTGCATTGTTTCTCGTATAAGAATCAACATGGTGCCTCTGAGGTGTTGTACCAACAATGCAGGTACACGTCCTGCAAGTGATTTTATTTCCCACGCCGGGAAGTCTTCGTAATCGCGAAAAATTTCGAAATCGAGATATCATATTTTTTGGATGTTACATCATGTAAAGCCATGTCACTCAATCCGTCCGTCTGTCTGTCTATCGGTTTCTCCGCTAATCGTTGGCCTGCCTATCACTTGGAAAAACTGCCCCGACTTTAATAAGATTTTTACACAAGGTTACTACAATGCTAATGACAAAAAAAGCTTTGTAGTTTTAGAAAATCGACCCAGTGACGGCGGAACTAAGTACAAAAAACTGAAAAAACAAAATTAGCTCAAACTAAATAAAGGTATGATCAATGTGTTATAGATTTGTTAGGTGTAGGTACAACCGTTCCTCGTAGTTTATGTCTTATTTGGTGATTGCGTTTGATTTTTTTTAACGTTACTAGTAAATTTGTGATAGCATGTAAGAGAAAGTTGTCTCATGTCATATACGTGTATATCGTGTAAGACATCAGTGGGATATAATTTTGTTTTTTCAAACATTGTTCTTGAAATCATTTTTCTGAAAGACGTCTAGATCATAAATATGAGTTGAGCATGAGGGTCTAACTTGTGTTGGACATCCTTTATAAATAGATAACGGCCAAGCGTGAGAAGGGCAGAGTCATCCTTCTATTTCACAAAAAAGCGAGGTAGCAAGGTATAGGTGAACAAAAGGATTACAATACCTGTGTTCCAACTGTAGTCCATATCTTGTACTCCTTTGTTTATTCTAAAATGGTGAAACCTGCAAGAAATAGAATGATTACTAAAGCATAACTTAGATATCAGAACTGTAGCAAAGATAGCTGGGAATTTCAGCGATGCACCTTCAGGATGAAGACAATGAATTGAAATTGATTGTACGTTATGTATGAAAATATTTAATTGAGTTGTAATGATCAATTTTTCATCCATACATGTTATATTACCTAGGTTGAGTCGAATTGTACAATTTGTGAAATCCACCTCTTGGCGTTAAACAATAAAGCCATTTTTTATCATTTTCAAAAGTGGTCTGTTCCACAAAACTACCTTAGTCGAAAAATCATCTCCGAATAATTTCGACTCAAATTAAAGTAGAAAAGAAAAAATCTAAATAACATCATGAAGATACAAACATAATGCATCCATGAAACAGGTAAATAAATTTACTGTAAGTTTTTTTTGCAAATTATCAAGATTTTTGTTACAGATGACGTGGTGGTGGTGAGAGGTGTAACTGGTCCAAAAAAAGTCTATTATTTAGTGAATCTTTAGTATGTAGATAAATGATTCGCCTTGATCAGGATAATATTGTAAAATTAGCAGTGTCTGTAAGTATTCAGCGGATGATTTTATTGTTTCCAGATATTGTCCATATTCTAGGTAATACATTGTTTCATAAGTCTCCAACTTTCTTGGGAAGGTAATATCGATGATTAAGTGGCCTAGTTTCAAAATCCCCCAAACCTATTTTTCTACCAAGTTGCGATAGCGGTGCCCTTTCAACGCAGGAAGTATAAATAATATATAAAATACTTTCAAAAAAACAGAGTAATCATCTCCAAACCGTTGTTTATTTCTCGGTTTTCTCAGTTTCAAAATCTTTCAGTGCCATAAGTGAGTCGAGTCCAAAAAATCCTAAATCCATTTAGTAACAAAACCCATAGTATTGTATCCATATTCCTGAGAAACGATATCGCTGAATCCAATTATTGTATGTTCTGGTGAGATTTTATACAATCCACGTGTCAGGGAAGACCCTATTATAGTGCAGTTTAATATCAACTTGTCAAAGGTATCGGAATATCAAATAAAATTGAACAAGGTAGATGTTGTTGTCGATAAGCACTTGAAGTGGGACCAACATGTGCTGCATTTGAGCAAAAAAGTTATATTTTTCATCCATAAATTCTACACTATTTGTAACAGTCTGAACATTAAACAAATATTGATTATTTGCAAAGCACTTGTGGTGCCCCTTTTGGTATATGGCGTAATTGTGTGGGGTGGGATGTACGGTTCAAATCTTGGGCAGTTGAAAATGGTGCAGAACCATATTGTAAGTATTATTCTAAAAAAACCTAGACTAAATCCCACTATGCATCTTTATTCTCAAGAAATAAACAAGATTAAAATCTTATATATACTTGCAGTATGTAGTTTTGTACATGCAAATAGGAAATTAAATACAAATTATGTGTTCCGCAATTATATGACCCGCGAAAACACCACTCATAACCTCAACGTCCCGCAGTACAGGCGAGATTTAAATTTGCGTTTCGTGACATATCTTGCACCTAAATTTTACAATTTGATTCCTGCTAATATCAGGAATATTGAAAATTATAAAAAATTTAATGTTTCGTTTAAAATGTTCTGTTTCGAAAATCGTGAACAATTTATGCGTTTATTTTAAGTTGCTTTGAGACAGAATGATCTGCCTATTTGTTTCTTTTCTTTTTTTTAAATTGCGATACTTTTTTTTCTGTGATCTAAAGTCAAATCTATGATTTACAAAAACATAGGATTTTCTTTCATTGAGTCTATACTGTATTTTATGTTTTTTGGGATTGTTAAATAATTTTGTACAAGAATATAAATATTGTACGATATTAATTTAATTACTGTATTGGATTGTTTGGGCACATTTAAGTTTTTAAACTTAGGCGCTCATATAGAGAAACCTTGCTTTTGTTTATATATATATATATATATATATAAAAACAAGAAAAAGAAGGAATGTGGATTCGAGCAGAAAGTAGGATAGGTAACCCGAGCGATACATATTTCTGCTGGTTGGCTTCATCAGGCCCGAAATGAATGCACATATGCAACTACAAAATTAGATACACATGCCCATACACCCGTGCATTCATTTCGGGCCTGATGAAGCCAAACAGCAGAAATACGTATCGCTCGGGCTACCTATCCTATTTTCTGATCAAATACACTTTCCTCTCATTCTCTCTCTCTCTCTCTCTCTCTGTATATATATATATATACGTATATATATATATATATACAGGGTGACTTCGAAGTTGAGTCATTTATTTTAACAGTGAGTAGATCTGATCGAAAGAAATGTTTTTTTCCTTTACCATTTTTCTGGTAAAATTAAAGTAACAAAGTTATAGCCCTTTGGAAGTTTGAGTACCGCCCTGTCTCAATAATAATATTATGTGCTCGTGTTTGGTTCATCGCATCGGAAACAAAAAAGCGAAAGAATTTGGAACGATGTTTTTACAATTATTTTAGTCAGTTGTATACAGTCAGTGTCAGTCGGTAACGCGTTTGAATAGTGGTGTCTGTTGCGTGGATCAAACGAAATAAAAAATGGCACATGTTTATGCGGATCGGTTTCCCAATCGAATGCAACCAACCCCTCGTGCCTTTGTTAATGTAGTACAACGGGCTCGTGAATCAGGTGACTTAAGACCACACAGGGGACTGCATGCCGGTGCTCCAAGACCTCACGATCAAATACAGGTCCGCACTGAAATACTTGTTGGGATGATACTTTATAAAACAAGATAAAAAAATTTTTTTTTTTATTTTTACACACATATTTTGGTTTATCTTCCTTCTACAATCATTATCTGAAAATTAATGACTCAACTTCAAAGTCACCCTGTATATTATTTCTTCTTTTTGTAAAATTTGGTTTGCTGAATAAATCTGGTAGAGTTCAGGGCGTACTATTCTCTCTCTCCAACAAAAAAAATATCTGGATATTAAAAAGATAAAAATCCTGAATAAACTGCTGTGCGAACATTTTGCAGCCGACTGGCGAGAAAATTCCGAAAAGGAAAATCTTATGTATTACCAAGATATTGTCACAAAATTCTGAAAGGCGGTGAAAGAATATGAGTGATCGCAGGGAGTCGTGTTTGCTTTCATAACTCATATTTGGTTTATATTTGAGCTTATAGACCAATATTTTCACATTTGTGCGCCCCACGACGCCCGCTGGTAGCCGTCCGTGGCTCCCTGTCGAACAAACCAACTTGTCTAAAATAAATATAGGAACTTGTTGTTTGCTTTCATAATTCACATTTGGTTTATGTTTGAGCTTATAGATCAATATTTTCAAATTCGTTTTTGTAATAATTGATAAGGCAGCACATATTTAAATCTATTTTACATAATATAGGATGTTTGATATGAAGATAGTAATATATGTACTGTGTACTTTGTAAGGTATAGCTACTAAACCAGGCAGGTGATCATAGTAGTGCATTGAAGATGATAACACACCGCGCTGATATGTATAGGTGATTAAACTTCCAATTTTCAGGGTCCTGATATGATAATTATTATTCGTAAGAACTGTGTATAATGTATTCGTAGTTGTGGTTTTGTATAGAGCTCGATATCGTTTTCAGATTCTAATTAAGTTTTGGTTTATTCATATTGAGTCTTGAATTGTATATAATTTTTTCCAAATATATAAGAGGCAATTATCCGTTTCTTGCAAAAGTGAAACGACGGCTTACTTTTACCGTCGCATTCACCTTTATTTACTCATGCTGATGTTGATGACACTCCCGCCAGTTTCTCAACTATTTGGGAGAAGCGACGTTCAGGAAGCTGATATCCTTAAACGTTTTTTTAAGAATTTGGAATAATAATTAAAAGGTACTACTCTTACATCTTATAATATGGAATTGTTTAATAAAGATACTAATACATGCCTCAGTACTTTGTAAAGTATAACTGCTAAAGCAGGTAGGTAGATGATCAGAGTAGTGCATAGTAATGCAATTTTCAGGGTCGTGGTATGATAACTACTGATATCCTTGAATTTTTTTTTAAGAATATGGTGAAATAATTAAAAAACACTACACTTTCATCTTATAATATGGGATTGTTTAAAATGAAGATACTAATAGATGCATGCCTGAGTACTTTGTAAAGTATAACTGCTAAAGCAGGTAGGTGATCATAGTAGTGTATATTAATGCAATTTTCAGGGTCGTGGTATGATAATTACAAGTATTGTTTTGTAAGAGCTGTGTATAATATGGTCGTAGTTGAGGTGTTGAATAAAGTAGCTATCGCTCTTACATTCCACTGCATTGATTTGATCAGCTTATGTCTTGAATTGAATATCAATTTGCAAAATACTTAAGGGCTAATCATCCGATTCTAGTAAAAGTGGGACGAGGGCTTATTTTTGTCGTAGCATTCACCATATTTACATATACTAAGTGACATATAAATCCGAACACCCAGTTTAAATGGTTTTATTTTAATAAAATTTTGTATAAGTTCTTAATGAAGCATAATAAGTAAATGATAAAAATTTCAAAATGATTGCAATGCTTTAAAGCCCTTTGACCTTTAATAATGTGTGGATGCACCATGATGTGCTACGCATTCTCCAACGCGCCTGGGCATGCTTCTGATCAGGTGGTCAATGTCCTCCTGTGGTATCTCATTGCAGGCAACCACCAACTCCTCTCGAAGTGCTTCTAGATTCTGAGGAGGACGTTGCAAATTGAGCAATCTCCTACCCATCATATCCCACACGTGCTCAATTGGGGATAAGTCGGGAGATCTTGGTGGCCATGGTAACAATGTGACACCATTATGTTGAAAGAAGTCTATTGTGACTCTTGCAACATGTGGTCGGGCATCTTGTTGGAAAGTTAGATCTGCCAGGGTGTCAAGATAGGGTAAAAGTTGGGGTTCTAGAACTTCGTGGATATAACGCTGCGCGTTCATGTTACCTCTGATGAAGATTAAAGGTGACCTGGAACCATAAGCTATAGCACCCCAAACCATAACTTCAACAGTGTGATGA